AGCCTCCCCTTTGATGCTTCCCCCCCTCCCGCTCTCCCTGCGCCCCTCTCCCCTTCTCCTGGCTTCTGACTGAACCTTTGCCTACTTCGCAGGCCGGTTCTTTGATGAGAACGAGTCCCCCGTTGATCCTCAGCATGGATCTAAACTGGCGGATTATAATGGGGATGATGGGAACGTGGGTGAGTATGAGGCAGACAAGCAGGCTGAGCTGGCCTACAATGAGGAAGAGGATGGTGATGGTGGTGAAGAAGACGTCCAAGGTGAGCTTGGGCCTTGTCTCCATCCCATTCACTTAACTTCATCCTGTAAAAAAACTCTTGGGATTTGTGTTATTTAGCTGATAGGAAAATACTTTCGGCACCTGAGATTTGAACTTGGCACCTGTATCTTTTTTGTAGTACTTTTGGGGTCGAATGTTTCCAAAATTGAAGCCGTTTTCTTGAAATGGTTTTTTTTTAAATCAAATGTATTTATGAAATATGGCACTGTGTGTGAAGGGGCAGATCTAGCAGCTGAATCTTAAACTAGAGTATACAATTGAACAGTACTCTGCTTTGGAGAAACTGGCTGGGATTTTGAGCCCACTCTAGCAGTAACTATGTAGACGGTGATATTTCAAAGCAAGCAAGGACATGTCCATGGAGATTCTCAGTCATCCAGGTCATGGCTGTCCCAAAGGTGCTTTTTCAAGAGGCAACTGGACTTTCTGGTTTTCCTTTGAAGACATTTCGCTTCTCATCCAAGAAGCTTCTTCAGCTCTAATTTCTAAGTGAAGAAGCTCCTTGGGTGAGAAGTGAAACGTCTTCAAAGAAAAACCCGAACGTCCAGTTGCCTGTTGAAAAAGCACCTTTGGAATAAGCAAGGAAAATTTAATTTATCTTCAAGATGCCACAGAGTGCATTTGCTGCAGAAAACCCTTGGGGGCTAAAGGATTATCACTTAACCTAAAGGGCAGATGGAAGCCAGTGATCCACAAGTGTTCATGGATTTAAAAATCCACCAACACTGACAGAACAAGCCACTAATATATAAAAAGAGCAAACTTCATTCCCCTCTAGCTCTGAAAATATTAGCTATTTGGGTAATAAAATCTCTGCAAGAAAACAACCAAGTTGAGATCCTGAGCTTCAAATATTGGATTTAGAAAGGAGACCTAATAGGATGAGAGGGGAACATTAAATGATGAAGTGAAAGGTGAGGTTATAAAACCCAAGACTGCTGAAATCCAGTACTCTGGAATGTCTGGCCAAATCAGGGGTGAGTAATCAGCAGATGGCATGTTCCTCACTGCAGCCAGAGCAGCTGGGTCTGAAAATTGGGCCCACTTGGGAGGAAGCGTGTAAAGCAAAGCGGGGTGGGGGTGGGGGTGAAGTCAGCTTTATAAAACGTAAAGAAACCCTGGGCTTTATCCCTCAAGACCAGGCAGGAGACATCTTGAAATCACTTGCTCTGGGTCATGTGACTATGGGGCTTCAGGTGGAGAAGCTGGCCACGTGCCAAATCGTGGCCTCTCCCTTAGGGCCCATTGGGAAAACTTGGTCTCAGTCTTCCTTTCTAGTCCAACTTCAGACTGCATCTTTCTTCGACCAGCTTCTTCCTGCATGCCACATTGCATCCTGTTCTGCTCAGTTTTGAATCAGATAAACTGAGAAGTCCCAGCATCCTTTACATAATTTATTTTCTCTGTTTTGTTAGATTGGAAAGTAAAAAACCCCAAAACCAACTGGTTGTTTTGTTAAGGACAGGTCTAATGGGCAAATTATTTAATTCCCAAACCAAGGGGTGGCGGTGGCGGCTGAGAAATCTGGACTCATTCATTGTGTTGATGTTGCAGTGCTACAGCACCCCAATCCCACCCAGGTGTGAAAAGGAAAAGGCAGCCTTTGCAGCTAGATGTTCCTCCATGTCTCCCCTCTTCTCCCCCATTTGTGGGAGAGAAACTGAAGGGTGGTTTTCCTCCTTGCGTTGCAGATGATGAGGAGAGGGAGCTCCAAATGGATCTGGTGGACTATGGGAAACCACGCTTCAATGATGTCCTTTAAGGGCCCGATGACTTTTCTTCTGAGAGATTGTGCAAGTCTTCAGTGCTTGGTGCAAAAGACCCAGAAGACCAGAGACAGTGCACTGTTTGACCTGAAAGGTAACATGCAGTGATGGGCGTACGGTGGGGTCCAGCCTTTGCAAATAAGAGATGCTTGGTCCTAGAAAGATGAGCAGTGGGTAGAGTTACTGGACTGGGCTGTAAGACTGTTCTTTATCTGTAATCTTTGTGTTAATAATTAACATTGCAAAATAATTTTACATGTTTCTGAAATAAAGTGAACGTGTACAGTTTGTATTTCATACATAGTCATGACTTCATTGCAGAAAAAAAATATATAGATGGAACATTGAAACAGCAATGTATTTAATTCATGCAAGAAAATTGTTTTCTCTTGTCTTGTGACTTGTATTTTATGGTAACAATTCATTTTGAAAAAGTAAGACTGAAAATACATGATACGTGTTTATGAAGGAACTTTGTTTAACACAACTCTGCAAGATCTGTGTGGCAGTGACACCATACGGGGATTTTGTCCTAGGAGAATGACTAATGTTTCCCATAGCAAATGTTTTGCAAACTATTCTCATTTTATATACTTTTTTTATTAGGCTCTAAATCGACAAACGGTATTTGGAGCATTCAAAAGCTAGTCTGCTAACTCACGTTTTTCTTTACAGCAGTGGGCTTTGATTGTATGCAATGATAGATTAATTCATTTAAACTTGCTTAAAACTGTAATCTTGGATCTTTTAAATTCATTCCTCTCTAAACCTGTTGTGTCCAGCTCCTGAGTGATGCTCAGTTCTTTTTAAGGAAAGTACTGCTGGAGGGATTCTGCATGAAAATGGAAAAGGGATCCACAGTCATGCATGTGCAGCAAAGGGCATCTTCCGTCTCCTGGGGAGGGCAGGGCCAGATGGATCGAGTACTTTGGGCTGTTCAGAGCAATGGCTATGTCCTGACAGTGACAGGCTATTAACCCAGACCAGCAAGGGCTATTGGGAATAAAATATTTAAGCCCTATACGACAGGGTTGATTGTCTTTCACTACAGATTGTTCTTACTTAACAACAGTGGTTGGGAGTGGAAATTCCCAATGCTGTCGCTAAGCAACTCATAAAGTGCAATGTGACATGAACATGTTACTGTACTTAGAACATCAGCTTCAACATTTCAGGTTGCCTTCGTTAAATGAATTCTGCGGTGGTGTTGGTTGCCCCTTGTAACCTCCTACTGCCTTCCCAATTGACTTTCATTGTCGGAAGCCAGCAGTGAAGACCACAAATAGTGACTATTAAAAAAAAAGTGACTGCGGAACCATGGGATGTTGCAACATTATAATTGAGAGTCAGTTGCCGAACACCCAGATCGAGATCACACGACTGCAAGTGTGCTTTGACCATTGTTAAGTACAAGGACCGCTTGGCTCAGTGCTGTTGTAAGTTGAGTTACTGAATGAGTGGTCATTAAGCGAAGACCACCTGTATTTCTGTGCTCAGGTTAAAGTTCATTTTTGATGAATAAAGTCCATTCTGTGATCACTGCATTACACTGAATTTCATTAGAAAATCATTCATTTCTGACAATTAAAATAGAAGTCTCTATCTGGGATTCTTTTGAGCCATAAGACGAAAGCAGGGCTCCTCAAGGGGAATTGTTCTGCCTGCAACTTTTCTTTCTGTGCTGTAAAAAACTGCTGTGTTTACACACAAATATAAGGCTGAATCTGCAGCCCTGTCCTGTTCTTCATAATCCCCCCAGTCTGTCTTTATGTTGCAACTGATGAACTGACAAAACTATTTCCAAAGCTAGGTGTAATTTTGTTAAGAATCTGCTGTTGAAATTGAACATTTAATAGGGTTTAATAAAAGCTTAATATAGCTTCTGTGTCTGCCTTTGTGTTCCTCTCTCCTCTTGGCAATGCAGAGTGAAGGGAAATGAAGATTTCCCACATCTCCAATACAATTTTGCTTCTAACATATGTTTTATGTATATGTGTACATGTTTTATTTAAATACACTGCTGAAAAAAAATAAAGGGAACACAAGCAGAAGACCTCCGAGATCTGAATGAATGAAATAGCCTTATTAAACACTTTGTTACATACAGTAGTTTTGTGTTCCCTTTAGATGTTTGAGCAGTGTATAAACTACTGTATGTAAAGAACGAAGTATTTAATAAGACTATTTCATTCATTCAGATCTCGGATGTCTTCTGCTTGTGTTCCCTTTATTTTTTTGAGCAGTATATAATCCCTTACATTTCTCTCTGTGAATGTTGTGATCCTCTCTGCCCAGTTTTCCAGCCTCTCCAGATTAATTACAAACTTCGTTCCCCAAATTTGATAAGCAGTCCATCCACCCCATTGTCCTGCTCATTGCAAGTGTTGAATGCTGGCTCCAAGATTGAGCCCCGTTGGCCGCTCCTCCTCTCTACCCGCCTATGCGGCGCTTAATGTTGACCAGGCGCCTTTGGTGCGCGTCTTGCCCTTGGGCCGCTCTGGGGCTCGGGGGGGGGGACGACGGGGGCTGCTCGGCTACGCATCATGCCCGCGCAGCCTCTGCCAGGGCATTCCCAGGGCCGCCAGGAAAGAAGCGCCAGGCCCAGGAGCCTCGGCCCGCCTTCGCCTCCTTCCGCCAGCCCTGCGCTCCCTCCACCGGGCAGCGTCACCGCGATGCCGTCGGCGCACTTCGCGGGGCCAAGGCGCCACCCGTGCAGCGGACGGCTTCTCCGGGAGCCCCCTGGCCGGGCAGCGGGGGCTCCGGGAGGCTCCGGCCCTTCCGCCCAGCCAGAGCGCCTCCTTGGCCACGCCGCCCCGCCCCGCCCCGCCTGCGCGCCTGCGCAGTGTCGGCGTCGGGCAGGCCGCCGGGCTCGCGCCTTCCCTCCCCCCCCCGCCAGCATCCGGGTCCTTCCGCGCGGTGCAGCAGGTCGGTAGGCGGGAAATGGCGACCGGCCGCTGCTGGGGCTGCTGAGCGCGAAAGGGACCCAGCGGGGGCGGCGGCGGCGGCGGCGGCGTTTTGTGGGAGCCGCGCGGCGGGGGAGGCCTGCCGGGCCTGGGCTGCCCTGCCGCCGCGGGGCCGGTCTCCGGCGGGCGGGGAGGCGCCCGACTGCCCCACCTTCCCCTCGGCGCTTCACAGGTAACCGCCGCGAGCGGCGCGGGAGGCGGCGGCCACGGCGGGCCCGGGAAGCGCGCTCTTCGCCCGGGGCTCCCGCGCAGGCCTTGGCGCCCGCCCACCCGCCTAGGCCGAGCTTGCCGCCGCGGGCGCCCCTCTTGCTCTGCGCGGCCGCCGCCGGGCCGGGCCGGGCCGGGTGGGCGAGGGAGCGCGTGCAGCCTGCGCCGCGGCCGGTGGGGTCTGGCGGGCACTTAGCAACGGGGCCGGCGGGGCGAGCGGGAAGCGGCGATCCAAGGTCATCGGCGCGCGGGGAGGCTCCGCCGGCCGATCCCGCCAGGATCCCCCGCCGAGCCCCGCAGAAGCGCCCTGGCCCTCCGGGCGGCCGGGGAGCCCTTGGGGCCGGGGGGCCGCCTTTGTTCCCCGCGGGAAGCGGCGGACACAATGAGCCTGGAAGTGGGGGCGCCGGGGGGGCTTCCTCTCGGCGGGCGGGGATCGCGCCATCCCGGTAGGCGGGGAGCCCGAGACCCCCGGAGGTGGAGCCGGCGCGGAGTTTGCCTCTCTCGGGCCGCTCCACCTGCCCGCCGTCGGTTTCAGTTTTGTCCTGGCTGCTTCCCAGTCCCGGGCCGTTTCACTCAGTGCGCGAACACACAAAATCTGGCCCGATAGAAACGGGGAAGGGAAGCAGCTCCTGCGGGGAGCGAGGCTTTGCGGAGCCAGGAGGGAAGGAGAGGGATGCGGGCCGAGCGAAGGGGAATGAAGACGGGGCTGCCGGGAGAGTTTGGCTCTTAAGATTCCTGGGGCTAAGGAAGCAGCGCTTCCCTTGGTGGAGAAGTAGCCGACTGTTTAAAGACTCTTCTAAGGTGGTTTTCAAATCTATTTGCTCATCAATTATTGTTTGCTTTTACCGGACAAATAATTTAATCTCTGTTTCCATTTCTCCACTAGTAAAATGGGAATAATTCATCACAAACTGCTGGTGCTGCAAGGGTTAATTACTTAATGTTAATAAAGGGATTGGAAGATTAAAAAGGCCCTACAAGTAAGTTCCTAAAGTTCGTATTGGTCATTGAAGTGTAATAGTGATTTTTTATTCATTCTATATTTGAAGAAATGGAGTCACCATTCACTGTGATGAATGTTGTTTTTGGGTGGGAGAAGAATAAGCACTGTGTGTTTTGCCTTTCCTGTTCATCGTAAGCATAATTTAAATGTTGCTTTAGTGACATGCATGCATTACGCCTTCTCCCGAGTTATTACTTAACGCTTCAAGGAATGGTTTTTATAAATGTAGTCATCAGGGGTTTATGAATTTTCACTTGGCACGGTAGCTGGCCATAATTTGTGGCCATGAGTAATCCTTCCTCACCACCATATCCTCTGTGTATGCCAGATAACTGGGAGTCTCTCAATTTGCTCTGGGCATTGAAAGAGACAGAGGCTGACTAAAGCTGTTGTAGTTTGTGCCTGCTGTCAAACTGAATAGAAAAAAAGCATAAGCTGCTGCTGCTTTTTCTCCTAAACTTACTTGAGTTCTGTCAGTGTTAGCCGGACCCCAATATCCCAGTAGAGGGCACGGAAGGAAGGTAGTCCCCTCTGAAAGGGAAGGGAGGGAGGTTCATGATAAAGGAAGGCAACTCACCAAAAAGGAGTGATGGAGTCTGCAGATTGCAGTGCAGAAATGCTGGATGTCATAATGGCCAAGGGATCCGAGGGTTGTAGGATATATAGTGCCACATCTTTTGAGGCCCCCGGATGGGGGAAAGCTCCAGTGGACAAGGAAGAAATTAGTTTTTTCTCCTCCAAGAAGGAAATTAGACCCAGAAAAAAATAAACTTGGAAAGTTGTATTATACTAGATCATTTACCTCAGTTTTATTGTTCTGACTGGCAGTGGCTCTCCCAAATAAAAATGGCAACTCTTTCCCATTAACTGCTATGCAATTATTTTACTTGGCAATTAACTCCTAGACGTTTTGCATGTGCCTCTGTCAGTTTGGGTAAAAGAGGTGAGCAAGTACTTGAGGAGGTCTATTGGTGATGTGGATTTATGCTTTGAGAGTATTGTGTGTTTCCTTGCTGAGCACATGTAAAGGACAAGGGCACGCTTTATTTGCTTTCTTATAAACATTTGTAGCCTAGCTTTTTGTACCTTGAGGTATCCTGTACTCTTAGAGGCTTGGCGGCTAGACTGCATGCCAATTAGTTCAATTAATCAGGGTAATTGCTTTGATTCTTTAGATGTTTTCTTCTTTGCTAGAAAATGAAACATTCTTAACTTCTTTGAAACTCCCTGGGACACTTTATTTTAGTTGGTGGATGGTTTTATTATTATTTAGAAGTGACTGGTACTGGTTTATGAAATCTTATTCTAGTTCAGCTTTTTTAGTATTATTGTAGTCCATTAATGTATTTAATCATGTCAAAAAATAAATATACTCCATGTAAAGTTGCTTTCTGTTTTTTAAGAGAAATTTTTTAAAAATATCAATATTTTATCTTCAACGTATATAAAAGGCAAAGATAATACAGGCAGTCCTCCACTTACAACTATTTATTTAGTGACCCATCAAAGTTACAACAGCACTGAAAAAAGTGACTGACCATTTTCCCACACTTACGACCATTGCAGCATCCCCATGGTCACATGATTAAAATTGGATGCTTGGCACCTTGACTTTATGACGGTTGCAGTGTGGGGGTCACGTGATCCCCTTTTGTGACCTTCTGACAAGCAAAGTCAATGGGGAGCCAGATTCACTTAACAATTGTGTTACTTAACAACCGCAATGATTAACTTAACAACTGTAGCAAAAAGGTTATAAAATGGGGCACAATTCATTTAACAACCATCTTGCTTAGCAACAGAAATATTGGGGTCTATTATTGTAAGTTGAGGACTACCGTATTTTCCGGCGTATAAGACGACTTTTTAACACATGAAAATCTTCTCAAAAGTCGGGGGTTGTCTTATACGCCGGGGGTCGTTCTCCTGTAACCAGGCAGACCAGCCCGAAAGGCTCTGACGTGCCTTAAATGGCTCTGGCGATCCAAGCTCTGACGATCTGCTAATCAGGCAACGCAGCTGGGATCGCCAGAGCCATGGAGAAGGAAAAAACTTTCCCCCCTCCAGCTTGCTTACCTTAGCTCAGTGGTTGGGGGTCAAACAACCCTTTCACAGGGGTTTTGCAGGTGGTGCAATACAGAAAAACGAGCGGAGCCCTCGCCATCCGGAATGAATGGTGCTGTTGTGGCAGTGTGGGAGGGGGCGGCAGAAGCGGGAAGAAGCGGCGTTTGCGATGGCTGGAAGCTGTGAGAGTGAAGCACTACTTTCATTTGTACGGCAACAGCATTCCGCCTTGGTATATTTGTGTCAGCCAGTGGCGCAAGGCAGGCCTCCTCCTGCTGCATGGGACTCAGAGTGGTAAATGGCGTCTGATCCGGAGAGCAGCTGGATTTTGCTCTCTAATCCGGATGCCAGATCGGCCCCCTGCAAACTCTCGTCTCTCGAGGAGCGCTCCCTGAAGCGGGACTGGAAACTTTGGTTGGACTGCTTGAGAGAGGAGAGCTTGCAGCGGGGCGATCTGGTGTCTGCAATGGAGAGCAAAATCCAGCTACTCCCCGGACCAGTCACCATTTACCGCTCTGAGTCCCAAGCAGCAGGAACCGAAGGCTGCCTTGCGCCACAAATATACCAAGGCAGAATCCTGATGCTGCACTTTCAGCAGAGAGATGAGGGCTGCCTTGGCCATCGGCTGGCGCAAATATACCAAGGCGAATGCTCATGCCACACAAGTTCAAGTAGTGCTTCGCTCCCACACTTCTTCCGGCCCTCAGTCTCTCAGGGAGATGCTTGACTTCCTCTCAGCCCCAAGACACTGGCTGGCCCATGAGATGAGAGAGAGAGAGAATGAGAGAGAAAGAGAGAGAATCAGAATGAGACAGAGAGAGAAAGAGACAAAGAATGAAAGAGAGAATCAGAGAGAGAGAATCAGAATGAGACACAGAGAGAAAGAGACAAAGAATGAAAGAGAGAGAAAGACAGAATGAAAGAGAATGAGAGAAAGAGAGAGTGAGAGACAGAGAATGAGAGACAGAGAAAGAGACAGAATCAAAGAGAATCAAAGAATCAGAGGGAAAGAGAGAGAGAGAGAAAATGAAATCAGAGAGAGAGAATCAGAATGAGAGAATCAGAATGAGAGGGAGAGAGTGGGGAGAGAGAGAGAAAGAGGGGGAGAGAGAAAGAGAATGAGAAAGGGGGGAGAAAGAGAATGAGAGGGGGGGAGAGAAAGAGAAAGTGGGGGAAAGAAAGAATGAGAAAGGGGGGGAGAGAGAATGAGAGAGTGGGGGAGAGAGGGAGAGAGAAAGAGAATGAGAAAGAGGGGGAGAGAAAGAAAGAGGGAGAGAAAATGAAAGAATCAGAATGAGAGGGAGAGAGTGGGGAGAGAGAGAAAGGGGGAGAGAGAAAGAGAATGAGAAGGGGGGGAGAAAGAGAATGAGAGAGAGGGGGGAGAGAAAGAGAAAGAGTGGGGGAAAGAAAGAATGAGAAAGAGAGGGGGGGAGAGAAAGAGAATGAGAGAGTGGGGGAGAGGGAGGGAGAGAGAAAGAGAGAATGAGAAAGAGTGGGAGAGAAAGAAAGAGAAAGGGAGAGAGAGAGAGAAAGCAAAAATGAGAGAGAGAGAAAGAGAGAATGAGAAAGTGGGAGACAGAGAGAGAGACAGAGAGGAGGGAGAGTGCCTGAAGGACCCCATCCCGTACTGGGAGTCCAGGTGCTTCAGCAAGCGGTGCACTGGATTCGTATTAGTGGTCCGTGAAATTTAAAATTATGAAGGTGGTGGTCCCTGAGGTCCAAAAGGTTGGGGACCCCTGACCTAAGACCATTGGAAAACACATATTTTTGATGGGTTTAGGAATAACTTTATCGTTGGGGGTCACCACAACATGAGGAACTGTATTAAAGGGTCGCGGCATTAGGAAGGTTGAGAACCACTGCCTTAGCTGCTTGCCTTGCTTCGCTTGCCTGGATCCATTCCATCAGCAAGCAACTCCCTGCCTGCAATCAAGCAAGCAGGGAGTTGTGGACTTCAACAAGCAAAACAAAGCTGGCTGAGGAATTCTGGGAGTTGAAGTCTACAAGTCTTAAAGTTCTATTGGGTAAGTTTTTTTCCCCTTTGGGATCTTTAAAAAAAAATAGTTAATTGGGTTTTTTTTTAGTTTTGTTTAGATTTAGTGTGTTTCTGTAGTGTTTCACTCTAACTACACAAACACAATCTCACAAAGCTGTATGTGGAATTTTGTGTGTGTAAAGTGTGAAAGTTGGGTTTTTGGGCTTTTTATGGCTGTGTGAGGTTCCTGCTTGTTTCAGGGGCCATTTTGGGTCTAGCACAGCTGCTTTTACATTGTGGGTGAGCCAGTTGATGTTTTTTTAATTTTTATTTGGTGTGCGTTGGAAGTGGGGTAGTCTTATACGGCGAGTATAGCCCAAACCCTATATTTTAACAGGAAAATTTGGGGGTCGTCTTATACGCCCAGTCGTCTTATACGCCCAGTCGTCTTATACGCCGGAAAATACGGTACCTATAATAGGGGGAAAACTGAAACACTGACTTTGCAATCTTTAAAAAAGAAATACAAATAAGAAATAAGTCATTTTGTTCTGTAGAAGAAGTAAGCAGACTCTTGACTCTAATACCTGATTGCCCCTTTGGCAGAAACCGCCTTAAATAGGCAGATTTTGTTGCTGGGGAAAAAAATAAACTTGTGCTTTATGGAGTTTGATGATTAGAAAGAATAAACAATGAACAGAAGGAAATTATGTAGGAGTCCATGGCAGATTTTACTCCACTAGCCATAGCTGACTTTAGGGGGTGGTGCTCATCTCCGTTTCAAGGCCATTGAGTCAGTGCTATCTGTAGATGTTTCCATGGTCATGTGGCCAGCATGACATCACAGAACGCTGTTGCCTTCCCACCGAAGTACTATCTATTTATCTACTCGCATTTGCATGCTTTCAAACTGCTAGGCTGGCAGGAGCTGGAGTGAG